CACATCCTGGCAGGGTATGCAGAAATGCCCCTCCCCAAGCTCCAAACCCCACACTCACAGCCTCCCCACACCTTCACAAATTCACACACCACACCCATCCCCCAACCATACAAAGTGCCTGCATAATTTTGCATAACTTTGAGTTTTTCTGCACATAATTTTGAGTTTAAGGTATGCATTTAAAATCATAATTAATTGCAAGTAATTTTTTTAATCATGCAGCTAATCATTATCAAATTTTTTTAATAATTTGACAGCCCTATTAAAAATATGAAATAACAAAATACAGATATTCAAGGTATCAGCTACAAAAGTACTGCTGTAAAGATGTCAGAAATATTAATAATGAAAATATTAACCATCAGGAATATCTAATGTAATGTTTCCTTTTTCTTTTAATTTGTTTTAGCCGCACAAGTCAACTTTCAGTTTCAACACTGTTGGAGATGTGTAAAGGCCAAGCAGGAGAGCTGGCAGTTGGAAGAGAAATACTTAAATCCGGTAAAAGCATCTTTATTCCATGTAAAGAATTATAGTAAAATATTTCAGCTCTAAGGATACATGAACAACTATAGTAAGGAAATTACTAAAAATCTTCTATTAATGGAATTTTGTTTCAGATAACATAAACAACAATAACAATACAAGTTACTGTTGAGCCAATTATTTCTGACATAAAAACAACATAATTTATGTTCTGTATAACTATGCTGCCTTCACCTTGCAGCAGCCTGGTTTTTTGATCTATCTATTTCATAGGATCTAGATTGGAAATGGGTTTAACACTTTGTAATTTTTTTTTTAATAGGGTCTATTGGTATTGGTGGTGTCGATTACGTCTTAAATTGTATTCTTGGAACCCAAACTGAATCGAACAACTGGCAAGCGCTCCTTGGGCGTCTTTGTCTTATAGACAGACTCTTATTGGAATTCCCTGGTGAATTTTACCCCCACATTCTTAGTGGGGACATTTTACAAGCTGACACTGTAGTAGACAGGTACTTGTATATTATTTTTCTTCTTTAGAACTGGTCATTATTAGCCAGTTTTTCACAGTGGGCTCCCTATGTTATCCATGTGCAAAAAGTTATTTCTTCCATGTAGTGGGGGGAAGGGGGTGTAATGACTGCATATCTATGCACATTTTGAAAATACAATTTAAGGTTGTAAAACTTGTCTTTCATTTTCAAATGTATGTTCTGAAATAAGCAGTAGTAAATGTAACATAATGTTGAAGCACGTTTTCTATAGTTTACTTTTTATGGTACTAATTAACTGATAAGTGTGAGCTTTAGGTAACAGTTTAATTTATTTATTTTAGGTATAAGAAGCTGTTGTCCCTCTTGAAATTCACCTTGCAGTCAATTGATAATTCCCACTCAATGGTTGGTAAACTATCCCGGAGGGTTTTTTTGAGTGCTGCAAGAATGGTTGCAAGAGTGCCCCATGTGTTTATAAAACTGTTAGAAATGCTGAGTGTGACAAGCTCAACTCATTACACAAGGATGCGTCGACGTTTGATGGCAATAGCAGATGAAATGGAAATTGCAGAAGTCATCCAGCTAAACATTGAGGAGATGCGTTCTGTAGAATGCCGACGTGATGACTTTATGCAGCCACCTGTCCCAGATAACTCTCCAGAAGCAACAGGAAATAATACTCCTAACAATACTATCCAGTTATCAGGGAAAAGTGGGAAAGCATTGCTGAGTGCCAGTCCAGAGGACATTTCTGAAACATTGGCTGGCATGTCTGTGGGACTTCCTGTTTCATCAGTAACCACTGAGCAACCAAAGCCAGCCATTCAAACGAAAGGCAGACCCCACAGTCAGTGTTTGAACTCTTCTCCCTCATCCAGTCATTCCCAAACAGTATTCCCAATGTTACCCTCTCCCTCAACCCCATCTGTACCAGCTGGCACTGTAACAGATGTATCTAAACTCAGACCTCAGGCATTCATTCCCTGCAAAATACCCTCCATTTCTCCTCAAACCCAACGGAAACTGTCTCTCCAGATTCAAAGAAACTGTTTGGAAAATAAGGATCCAGAGAAGCTTTCCCCAGTTTTTACCCAGGCCAGACCTATGCCGTCTAATCACATACACAGGCCAAAGCCATCTCGACCCACCCCATGTGAAATGACCAAGCATGTAGAGACCTCAAAAAACAGTATGACACTTGATCTGAAGGACATTTCACAGTGTGATGGCAATAGGAACAGCAGTGCAGTTATACCAAGTGAAGAGTCAGTGTTCACACCAGTGGAGGAAAAGTGCAGTCGGTTGGATATTAATGCAGAGCTCAATTCTAGTATTGAGGACCTACTTGAAGCCTCCATGCCTACAAGTGACGGCACGGTTACTTTCAAGTCTGAAGTCGCTGTTCTTTCTCCTGAGCGAGCAGAAAATGACAATACTTATAAAGATGATGTTAATCATAATCAAAAATGCAAGGAAAAGATGGAAGCTGAAGAAGAAGAAGCTTTAGCTATTGCCATGGCAATGTCAGCATCTCAAGATGCCCTACCAATAGTTCCTCAACTACAGGTTGAAAATGGTGAAGATATCATAATTATTCAGCAGGATGTGAGTATTCTGAGGATTTGTTTCTGTTTTTCCATGAGCCCCTGTTTTATTTCCATACCTGTTTGTTTAATAATGCTAATGTGTTTCTGACATTACTTAAATATATAAGGAGTACAGTGTTCCTTCTCCGTGTAGTAGAATGGAATACAGATACTGATGAAAGTATTGGCATCTAACGTGTGCTGGAATATAGCAGCATAGCATAGGGAGTTACTGGGTTATAAAGTCCAGGTACAGCTATTGGAGGCACCATGCCATACAGTTCCTTTTGTTAATGAAGCTCCCTTTTAAGTGGTTTTTGCTTCTTGCTTCCACTAGTCTCATTGGAAGGCTTTTCCAAAATTGATATTTGCCACAATAGACAACATCCTGCTCTTTGCTAATATGAGTCCATGGTGCAACTGAATCTTGCTAAGATCATTGTAAAAACATTTTGAAAAGCTATCTGAAAGAACAGCAGCATTCAGTGCACCAGAGGCTTCCAGGCACTAAAGTAGTTAAGAAAAAAAGTGAAAGCAAGAATGGGAGAAGGGTGCAAAACAGTTAAGGGAAAAAGAAATGAAGCATGGAATAATCAGATGGCTTCAAGCAGGAGCAGAGTGCCAGGTTTTTGATAATGAAATTGAATTTGATGCAGAAGATGAAAGGTAGCCAGGCTAGAAACAGGAGAAGTAGAATGACAGAAGTGGCAATAGTAGTGGGGAAAATATTAATAACAGCGTATGTGGGTAGGTGAAGTGAGAAAGATACAGGAGGCTTAAAGAAAGGAGCATGCATTACCACTAGGTAGTGGATATAAGCTTTAGCAATAGAAAGACAAAACATTTTATCGATCTTTTAAAGAAAGAATTGACATAATCTGATGAGTCTCTCTGTGAAGGGGAAAAGAATTGATGCAAAATGTATAACTTTGAGTGACATAGTTGAGTTGAAGGTGATGAAGAAAGAGGCAAGTATTTACAAATAAAGGATACTTCAGGTTTTGCCAAACAGCATGAATTCATGGCAAATCCAATACAAAATGTTATCCCAGCCAAGAAGTGTTGACTGACAATGTAGATTTAGATCTCGCCAGCTATTGTAATTCAAATTTTCAGAGAAGATGATGTCAAATATAGATAAAATGATAGCCAAAACGGTCTCTTCTCATCTGTTCTGTGCCTTCACACCATTTTTTTTTCCTGTTCTCATCTATTAAGATTATAATTTCTTTGGAACAGGGATTGTGTGTTTGTACACCTAGCATACTGGTATCTCAACCTGAATTGGAGGCCTATGTGATACAGACAGCGGTGAGAAGAAGTACTTGTATGAATTTTGGAGTATTTCAAATAACAACTTCTTTCAGGCTCTGTTTAATTTTAAATTAATTTTATTAAATAGAGAATTAATTTCAAACTAATCAGCATCTAATAATGGGTCACTTCAGTTGCTTTTCAAAACTCTTACCCAAATACTGGATACAGGTTCTTTCAGTTTTTATCATTAAGGTTGCATGCCATATCTGTAAGCAGAATCATTTTCTAAATACAGTGTGTTTGGGGTTTTTTTCTACTGTTGCACAAATCTGTTCCTGAACAACTGCCATTCCCAAGCTTGGCATTAATAATCTAAAGCTGTTTAATTTGGTCAACTCATGTTAAACAGGGACTTAAACACAATGCCAAAAGATAGACTAGCATTCCTAGTGAAATTTCAGTCTTAATTTTCAAATAAACTCTTGACGTTTTTAACTTGTTCATCTTAATTCAATTTGCAGACACCAGAAACCCTTCCTGGACATACCAAAGCAAAACACCATTACAGAGAAGATATGGAATGGCTCAAAGGTCAACAAATAGGTCTTGGAGCATTTTCTTCCTGTTATCAAGCTCAAGATGTAGGAACTGGGACATTAATGGCTGTAAAACAGGTAAATGATCCACTTCAAATATTGTCTAGAAATTTAGTAGCTGAATAAGTTTGAAGAGAAAACATTAAATAAATAACTTGGAACTAATTCTGTAATGATGTTTGTCCTTCGTGACATTGTCCCTGCAGATTCACCTACAGGAGTTGCATGCACTGCATTGTGAGCCATGGAATATTTTTCAAAGACAGTCCTGCTTGCTCCACTGATGCCTTGTTTAGAACCCTGGATTTTACTCCCTGCTGCCCAGAAATGTCCTTCTTTTTCCAGGGGTGGGCATAGTCCATAGAGACAGTATACAAATCCTTCATCTGCATGGGGTTCAGTGCTGCATTTAGGTAGCTAGGTTCTTCCTCACTTTTTTTTTTTTTACAGAAAAAGTGTATAACACTCAATATATAGACTTTTTCTTTTGTTGAACTTAAAGTGCTTTTGTCCCTTAACCAGTCTCATGAGTAAGGGACAAAACTGAGAGTGGAACCCAGACCTCAATTCCCAAGCCATTGCTCTTTCACTGGGTAGCTGCCAATATAATCTATAATAATAGGCTTATTCTGTCTGTCCAGAACACTTTGATTGGTTGTCTCAGCAGCCAATCTCAGTGCTTACTGAAACAGCCAGTCAGAATGTTCCAGACAGACAGAATAAGCGTGTTGTTATTACAGAAGATCCTGAGACATTTCAAACAGATATGCAGACAAGTCAGAGCTAGAATGAAGCATCAGGGCCCCCAGTTGTGGAGCGGACAGGCTCTGCTGAAGGGTGGGGGGAGGGGAACAGTGATCCTCCCTCCCTTCTCCCCAGAGCCTGCCCGCTTCTCCCATAGCCGAGGGGGTGAGGTGCTGGCAAGCCCTGAGCTGTGGGGGGGCCCCTGGTGCTTCCCTCCACAGTGGTGGTACTCCATGGGACTGCCTGGGTGGGGTGCCAGCAAGTGGGTGCTGCCACCACAGAGGGAAGCACCAGGGTCCCCTGCAGATCAGGCTATGCGACCTGCTGACAGCTTGCTCCCTGGCTGTGGGAGACGCAGGCAGGCTCTGGGAAAAGAAGGGGAAAAAAATCAGGTCCCTCGCAGCTCTTTTTTTTTTAAACTTGGCAGAGCCTGCCCGCGCAAGCTGCCACTGGGTCACATAGCCTCCAAGTTGCAGAGGGAGCCCAGAGCTTCCTTCTGTGGCAGTGGTGTGTCTCAGGGCCACCCAAGCAGGGTGCTAGCTGTGTGAGTGCAGCCCCAGCTCAAAGGCAGCACCTGCTGGATCCAGTGGTGCATGGGGCGCTAGAAACCCAGCCTCCAGTGCCTTGTGCACCATCCCCACCACCTTCTCGCTACCTGGGACTGCCTGGGAATGGGCTGGCTGCCCCAGGAGGGCAGCTGGGTGTGCTGGCAGCCAGAGAAGGTGGCAGGCATGGTGCATGGGGCACTGGAAGCCCGCCAAGCCCAAACTTCCCCAAGCACACCTAGTCTTCCAGCGCCCCATGCACCATCCCCACCACATTCTCTGGATTAGGGCCCTTGTACATGTGAGTAATGTTGTAATTAGTTACCTAGCAAACTGAAATATATGGCATGTGTTTTAGTTTGCTATATTAAGTCACTTGAATCAAAATACACTGCGAAACGTGTATGCTGTTACGCAAATAAATGGTTAAAAAGGGCAATTTAACCACTAAAAGGGACAATTTCCTCACATGTACAATGGTCCTCTTATTCTATGACTATAAACAAGTCCCAATGTCAGACTTTTGACAAGCTGTATGTTTATATTCCTATGCCTGTGTTTACACATGGACAGCTGTATGTAGGCTTTTTGAGGGTGAGAAGCTTTGATTCTACTGAAGTATTTGGTCAAAGGATAACTAAAAAATCCTGTATTTAATTTTTTATTGCAACAACATTTCTTTAATCGCAGATGTTTTGTGGGTTTCAACTAGTTACTGAATTATTTTTCATCCACTGGTAAATCCACGTTTATTCCACGAGTCTCTGCTACAGAATGGAACATGTTACCTACTTCTATTTTTCCACAAAGTTCTGTGTTTGGACCAATAGCCTCAGTATTTAAACTTGGAATACAACAGCTTCCTTATGGAGAGTGATTTAGGATTCATTGCCATGAGCAGTGTTCTTCTAATCTGGGTGCCTCTTGTTTGAATCAAGTGGTTCAGTACTGAGGGAATCTAGTCTTAAATCTTCTACAAGCCAGAGAATTTGAGATTCAAGGAATTTTCAAATGTTTAGATCCAACATTCTTAGATACTTCTATTTTGCTTGGAGCTGTTGAGTGTAGTAAGGGGTCTAAATGCTACTTTGGACTCGTGTAGCTCCTCTTACAGAATAAAACATCAGCAAAGGCACATGGAGATTTCCTGCAAGATACCATCCTTTCAGTCCTAATAAGTATTCAGAACTAAGAGTTGGTTCCAAACCTACGCTAGCATATATTCTTGTCCTAAGGGCTTCTAGGGCCTCCAAGGATCTGAAGTGGCAGGTTACCATTCCTAAATTAGTTAGGACTGCACAGCTGGCATTACATTCTAAGCCTAGTTTAAGGCCTTGACTCCTCCCACTTCTTCAGAGATGAAAAAGATGTTTCTGGAGTTAGAAGAAATGAAGGAGGATAAGGAAGTGGTGGCACAATTGCAGAATTTTGGGCTCAAGGAGCATACCCATAGCTCCCCAAGAGTTTGCTGCTTTGAAAAGATTCCATGACTCCTGCATTGTGGATCTGCAAGCACAATGTATTTGGAGAAGTGACTGGTAAGTAACCTTTTCTTATTTAGAATCTGTATGAGGAAAACCAAGGAATTTTTGTTTGGGTTATGTCTTCTGGTTTCACTTCTACTGTAGCTCAGGATTATGAAGGTACCTTTCTTAATTAAACTTGTATTATTAAATAATCCATTTTCTAAAACCAGACAATTTCCAGGATAGATCAAAACCCAGTGATATGTCTTCTATTTTCCCTTTTTCCTGATACAATGAGTATTAATATGGAAAACATGCATCTTAATGCTGATTACAAACTTCTAAATCAATTTGAATTTTATTTGAACATTGAAACAGCCCTGTGTGGGAGGATGGTAACTAAGAGGTGTTGTCCACATTTTACAGAGAAAGTAAGAATGACCAAAAGAAGGACTATGCTGCAATCCAAAGGTGTGGTTCAATGAATGGATCATGGTCCCAGCTGATGGATTGTAGTTCCATCTTTGTACCTGTAGCAGCATACCTTCCATAATTCTTTAGGTTGATTATTTTTCTCTTGGAAAGGGAATAAAGGACAAAAATTAATTCTGGCAGGGTCAGAAATCCAGTCTGTCATTCTTCTAGTCTTTTCCATGAAACCTTATGATATTTTGTGTGATTTGGTCAGCTATATAAATGAATGCTTAAAAGAGCTTTTGTCACAGATTATAGAACAAAAACCTGAATCTGTGACATGATACGATTCTGGAATTGTCACCCTAGCAGTTACTGCTATACAGTATTGAGAAATAATGAGGTATGCTGTGTGTCTTTCATCACTACAGGTGCTCCTCTTTTTAGGACTCCATTTACTGGTATTTTCCTATTTGTTAGTTGGTTGGGGAGGGGGCTACTGCCTAAGAACAGCATCCTTGTGTTACCTGTTTGGGGTGAAAGCTACAGGAAAATCAGCTTTTTCCCATCTCCATCCCCATCCTCCAGTTTATACAGAGAGAGAAGAATCTTGAGCAATATTTATTTATATATCACTATCACAAGAATGAGTTGCGTCTTTAATGCTGCTTTTGATTCTCAAGACTTAAGAATGTTTTGCACTTATTTTTATGCCAAGAATAGTTTAAATGGCCTTGAGTACATGGCCAGACGTACTTGCTGGGGAGGCGCACCCCCAAATAATTTTTTCTGCCTCTGTCTGCCCACCTTTTCCCTCCCCACAGACTTACCCTGTGCTGTCACCAGCCTCCCCCCACCCCCTGGGCCCAGCAGGTAAGTCTTGGGGTGCTTTTAAATGCCAAAGGTAATCTCCTACTTAAAAAGTTTGGAGACTACTGATAAACCCATCCATCTCTGCTAATTGTTCTCACCCTTGTTAGACTCAAGACACCTCTCAAAAAATGCCAACTTTTAGCTTTCACTTGCTTTGCCAAAAAAAACAATTCTCTTGTTGCAAAGAACTCACATCACAACTGATCAATGTTTTTTACAATATGGATTTTTTTTTTTAAATCTCTTGGTTTAACTTGTGAATCAACCCTGGTTGAGAATCAGTGATCTAAGCTGTCAAAACCAAACATAATTAGGTAATTGCAACCTGGAATTTCAGATTCAAGGCCACTTCTTGAAGTAAATCTGAACTGAATGTTTTTGACACAGGTGACGTATGTCAGGAACACGTCATCTGAACAGGAAGAGGTAGTCGAAGCACTGAGAGAAGAAATAAGGATGATGAGTCACTTGAACCATCCTAATATCATTCGAATGTTGGGTGCTACATGTGAGAAGAGCAACTACAATCTCTTTATAGAGTGGATGGCAGGTAAAAAGCATTTTCTGCATCTCACCGGGGTTGTCATACTTAAAAAGCAAAAGCACATTTGCTTTATTTCTAGGAAGAAAGTAATTAATTTTCTTTTACTGGAAAAGTTTAGCTAGCAAGCATTAAAGTTTGTGAATTTCCATGCTACAATATAATTGAATTATCACTTCCATTTAGTCATTTATTAGTGTTCATATTGTTTCCAGTAGCCAACACTAAAATTAGTTACAAGTTAAAAAATGGTTATAATCTTGGGGGAGCTGGGTTGGAATTGAGTGATTTTAATGTTATTTTATCAGAAATTATTTTACCTGAATTTTTCTGCTCTTAATCTGCCTTTATGTGAATTTTATTTTAGAAGTAAAGTTTTAGCAAAAATCTTGGTTCTTGAATTACATGTGTATGTTTGGTGCAGGAGGGATTTCTTGTTGTGAACAGGGTTGCAGCAGATGGTTTTTAAGGTTCTCAGACATAAACCTCTTCTAGACTATTTGTTTAGCTTAGGGGAAATCAGCTTACTATAACAAACAAACCTGAAAATCTTAAACAAGATATGTCATACAAAAAATGTTCCAGTGTGTGCACAACTTGTGCATGCTTGTTATTTCAGTAAATTGACAAGTTCAGCTGAAAAGCTAATTAACTGTTTTGCCAGCACATACATTTGCCTTTCAAAAACAATTGACTGGAAATGGCATGTGAAAATACCATTAAACTTTAAAACTACCATTCAAAAATGGGGAGGACCTGTAATTAAGTTCCTATGTGGATACTAGGATACAATCCTTAATTTGGTGCAGTTTAAAATATTTTATCCTCAGTAGAATTGCATAATTTCAAATTAAAGTATTTTTGCCTTAAAACAAAAATCTTGCTGAAGGAAATTAGGATATCCATTGTTTTTATAAAATTGCTTCAATTGGGAAGAAATGCGTTATCAGGCAGGGGATATATCGAGACATTTTGGTTTAAAAAGGTTTTCTCCAACAGAGATTTCTCAATACAGTTTAGAAGAGACATGTTTAGTGGGCCCCTGGCACACGTTCAGTTAGAGGCCCCATGATATCTGATCCCTATTTCCAACAGTGTCACCTGTCATGCCACACGTGTGGCAGGAGGCACAATTATGGAATCAGGGATCAGATTCCAATTGTGCTCATGATCCCAGGCTCCCCCTACACTGGCATATTAAAAGCCAGATGCTCACAGGCTGGGACTATCTGGGACTGGGGTGGACAGTCAACTGATTGTTGATTCCAGACCTGGGGCTGTCTGGACCAAAGCTGACAATCAGCTGATCATCAGCCCAAGCAGAGCGAGCTGAAAGGCTTCCCCCACTGGGGCTTTAAAGCTCAGGTCTAGCAGTTCTAGTGGCGAGGCTGGGCAGAGAAGCTCCTGGTAGGAGCTGGTTTTCAGATCAAGCCCAGAGAGCCCCTGTGTGTGGACATGCCATGCGTTCCATTTGAGGTGCCACACAAACCATCCATAACATGGAGAACATTTTAATGGCTCGTTTACCATTTTCTGGTGCCGTAAATTGGGTGCATTTCCCATTTATGCAACCGTTAACACATTAGAAGAAGCATAAATATAATGGGTAGGGGGCCCATAGTTACTCATTTGGCACTCTGTAGTGGAGTGTGGTGCCCTGATAAAAAGGGAGAAATCTTTGCTTTCCAGAAGTATTAGTCAGGGCCAGAAGCTTAACTAGTTGGGTTTTTTTTTAAAAAAAAAAGATTGATAAATGTTGGAATAGAATTTATTGTATAGTATGGCTTTTTGTGATAGCAAGGGAGTAAATTTGGGGAGCCAGAAAGTATCTCCTTCTCCTGTGCTTCTCTGAAGGAGAGGGAGTGTATTCTCTTCAACACATTTACATATCTTAGTTGACTGCTCATTAATATCAGACTTCCAGCTTACACAGCTTGAGTACATGTTGTTGAATTTAATAATGCAGAAAACATATTCCTGAAATAATCCTGCTGGATTCTAGAGAAGAATGGACCTCTAAAGTATGATTTTATAAACCAGGAATATATAGTATAATGATTTTTTTTTTTTAAAAGGTTGCAGGACTCTTTCCATTTCATTGATGTGTAAGTTTTCATGAAGGATGAAGAAAAAACACAATAGAATACCAGAGACAGACAGAACATAATACTAGCATATATGATTTGGAAAAAAACTTTTACTATTTATTGTTTTCCCTTTTCCTGCTTTTTAGTATGAAGTAATTCTGCATGTTACAATTTAAGGATAAATAAGCAGGAGCATAAAATAAGGTCCCCAAAAGAAATAACTGTAAGAACCATGTTTATTTTCCACTAGCAACATCTATGTCAGCAATAAGAGCCAAAAAGAACAACTGCTGCTCTATTTTAAAAGCTTAATGTAGCAATTGGAGTGCATATTTCCACCAGTGGCAGAACTTCTGAAATTTTATGTTTTAAACTTTCATTAAAAAAAAAATGTTTGGTAATTCAGTGGGTGAAAACTGAGGTAAATGTTTTAGAAATTAGTGCTAAAAGTTGTGCACGCATATGCAACCTCAAGTTCTTCAAAAACCTGTGCTAATCAGTAGCTATTAAATAAACCAGAAATAATTAGGCTCTAGTTCTGGCAGTCCAAACTTATAATTTGTGCATATATTCCATTAATCATTTTTATCTTCCAGGGGGATCAGTTGCTCATTTGTTAAGTAAATACGGAGCCTTCAAAGAATCAGTTGTTATTAACTACACAGAGCAGCTACTGCGTGGCCTTTCTTACCTCCATGAAAATCAAATTATTCACAGGGATGTCAAAGGTAAGAAATCTTCAAGGTGCTGTTTAATAACTAGAGTTCAAAAAGGAAACTAATATGATTTTTTTGAGACTTGGCAGTTTCTTTGAGTCACTCTTATGTAAATCCACTCTTACAGAAGATGCAATCTGTGCCTGAACTGTCCAACTGCCTTTTGGAACTTTGAAGCCCCTAAACTTCATCCAGATGTTCAGTAGCTCTTAGGTATATGAAGGCAAATATCCCTACTTCTTTGGTGAAGACAACCTGAGACAAAAGTTTTAAAAGAACTGTTGAGTTGGTTTCTGGAGTAAGCTGGTGAAAATGTTTCTGCTCCACTTTCAATACCAAAGGTAGAATAGAATCTGAAAAAGTTCCTCTTTAACCTGCTTCAGGTATATATGGTAACTTCATGTTGTTTTAAACAGCTCCACAAATCAGTAATAATAATAATAGACTTATTCTGTCTGTCCGGGGCACTCTGGTTGTCTCGGCAGCCAATCGCAATGCTTACTGAAACAACCAACCAGAGTGCTCCAGACACAGAATAAGTGTGGTGTTATTATAGATCCTGAGGCATTTCAAACATATGCAGGCCAGTCAGAGCTAGAATGAAGCACCATGGGCCCCCTGTCACGGAGTGGGCAGGCTCTGCCGAAGGGGGAATGGGAAAAAAAAAAGCGGTGAGGGACCCTCTCCCTTTTTTTCCTGGAGCCTGCCTGCCTCTCCCATAGCTGGGGTGCAAGCTGCCGGCAAGCCTTGAGGTGCAGAGGAGCTCTGGTGCTTCTCTCTACAGTGGTGGTGCCCCCCCAGGACCACCTGGGTGGGGGGCCAGCAGGTGGGTACTGCCCAGGGATGCTGCCACTGTGAAGGGAAACACTGGAGTCCCCCATAGCTCAGGGGCTGCGAGACCTGTCAGCAGGTTGCTCCCCTGCCACAGGAGATGCAGGCAGGCTCCAGGAGCAGGGAGAAGAAAATTCAGCCCCTTACCATTTTGTTGGGACTTTTATCCCGCCTATGTGAGCTGCCACCGAGTCATGCAGCCCCTGAGCTGCGCAGGTGTAGCCCCAGCTCACAGGCAGCATCCACTGGATCTAATGGTGCCTAGGGTGCTGGAAGCCTGGGTGTGCTTGGGGAAGCTCAGACTTGGCAGCCTTCTAGTGCCCCATGCACCATCCCCGCTGCCTGGGACCACCCGGGAAGGGGCTGGCTCCCCAGGAAAGCAGCAGGAGAGCAGCTGGGTGTGCTGGCAGCCAGAAGAGGCAGTGGGGATGGTGCACAGGGCACTGGAAGCCCACCAAGCCCGAGCATCCCTGAGCATGCCTGGGCTTCCTGCTTCCTGTGTGCTATCCCTGCCACCTTCTCTGGATAGGACCCTTGTACACATGAGGAACATAGCTGTAATTTGTTACATAGTAAACTAAAATACATGGGATGTGTTTTACTTTGCTACATAAGGTCATTTAAATTGAAATACACTGTTGAACATGTACACTGTTACGAAATTTAATTGTAATAAAAGAGCAATTAAACCACTAAAAGGGGCAGTTTCCTCATGTATACAAAGGCCTTCTCATTCTATGATTCTGAGCAAGTCACAGGGTCAGACTTTTGACAAAATATGTATTTATATTCCTACGCCTGTGTTTACACATGGACAGTTTTATGTAGCCTTTTCAAGGGTGAGAAGTTTTGATTCCATTAAAGGATTTGATTAATGGATAACTAAAAGTCCTATATTTAAAGAAATATTTTTGCAATAATAATTTAATCGCAAATGTTTTGCGAGTTTCACTTGGTGTGAAGTATAATACTGTAGTGTAAGAGTGGTGTTGTAGCTCTGGTGGTCCAGAAATTATGAA